GGCAGCTCATAAACAATTCATCAATAACTGTGAAAAAATACTCCTCACCCTAAATTCCAGTCCGGCTTTCGAAAGTATCACTCAACAGAAAATGTTCTCTTAAAGGTTCGAGACTTCAGCGCTGATTTTGATACCATTGAACAATCTTTTCTTTCAAATACTTGGCAACAAGATTTTGGAGTCACCAGCGCTGCTCTGGAATGGTTTGACTCATTTTATCTGATCGTAAAGAGCAGTATCCATAGAGAAAGATTTTAAGAAATGAATTGGAAGATTTTAAGAAATTCTTTCTCTATTACTTAACCGAGCTTAAAGCTTACCATCTTTCTTATTTTATTTACAGTGTATCCCTATTGGTGATAAAACCTTCGAAGACTATGTCATATTATTCAGTCTTAGAACCTTCCTTCCGTCTAAGGTTATGCTTTTGTATCCTTCATTACTGTAACATTTCTTTTTAAGTCTACCTAAACATCAATCGTTTACAGAAGGTTCAGAACGCCGCAGTTAGGGTGATTTTCCAGATTACGAAATGTGACCACATCTCACCGGCTCTCATCGACCTACATCAAAGATCTTTTTTCTCTTACACCTGCCTCTAACTATACTCTACGCTCGTCTACACAACCTATTCGTTTCGTTCCAAGGGTCAATCGCTCCACACTTTTGGATCGCCCATTTGCTCATGCTGCACCTGCCTTAAGGAAGTCATTTCCATTACTAATAAGATCTTGTAGCAGCTTAACTACTTTTGAGAAACAACTCGAAACACATCTTTTTTAGGAAAGCGTCCAGTATTAGATGTAATGAAATGTAAACCGCTTTCGAATATGTACACAGTTTTTAGCGCTATATAAATGTTTTTATTATAATTTAGAAATGTACTCCCGACCTTCCTACGTGTGACTGATAAAAATCTATTCCTAAAAGCCTTCCTGTTATTTATTTGATGAATTGTTCGGTTGGATTTCTTGGCAGGCAACGCAGTTTATCATCTTGCCCATTGGAGTAGTGAAAAATAAATTGGTTTCCGCCGTTATGTATTATAAGCTCGCGATAATTCCGCTTTGTTTGACATTTCCGCTATTTCTCTCGAAAGTTCTACCTTAGAACAAAATGTTGAAGCCTCTCTGGCGCTAAATATCTCGATGACAGGTTGTTTCTTTTAGTTTATTAGGTTACTAGGTTGCTGGCGTAAATCAGTGGAGGTTAAGAGCTTTGACGTGCTTAAAGCCTTTCAGTAGAACATATAAGAGACTTTTGAAACATAAATTAAATTATTTCGCGTGTGGTTTTCCTTGTTTGTTGCTGTTCCCTTGAGGATGGTCGCTTTTGTTTTTATCCAAACAAACGAGTAATTGGTTTTTCTAGCTCAGTCGTACCATTTATCTTGAAAAATAAAATATTTTTAATAACCTTTGATCTTTCTGGTACATTCCTTTTCTCCATGTCGGGAATATAAGGTAATTTATCAACCTTTTCCTCCAAATGTTTCATTTTTCTCATTTATCGGCGAAGGTTAATGTATATTTATTTTTAATTGTTCATTTGTCACTTAGAAACTTTTCTTCAAGGAAATGGCAAGTTTAATTTTATTTACATTGTACTAAACTGTAATATATCTACCTGAGCCAAACAGGTGGAGATTCTCAAACAACTAAACTCACTTTGCTTTGCGATTGGCTGCCGGCTAGCGTAGCATTTACTCAAGAAGATAATAACTCAGACATCCTGCATATCACCCTTGACGAGTAATGAATTTAAAAAAAACTACGTGTTGGATGAGGAGATTGAAACATGAGCATGTTTGAAGAAGAATGCAGGAGGCGACTGAACGAAGTTGCCATCACTGTCGACCTTCATCATAAAGTTATGTTGTCTATTTGTGTATTTTACTTCGCCTTTTCACCGGTGGCGATTGTTGGAAATGTCCTTGTAATTCGAGCCATGCTGAAAGTCTCATCGCTACCCGCGTCTTTTAAAAGGCTAATTCTGAGTCTTGCTGTCTCTGACCTTGCAGTAGGATTGTTTTTACAACCGATGTACGGCACAATTATTGCGTTGCAGTTGAGTGAGAGAAACAGTCAATTCTTGTGTCCTTCTCTCCTGACAATTCATCTATTTGTTACGTTTTTAGTGGCAGGAGCATCTTTCATGACCATCGCCGCCATTGCGCTGGACAGGCTTCTAGCTGTTTATTTACATTTGAGGTATCAAGAACTTGTAACGCCAAAGCGAATACAAATTCTTTTGCTTCTTCTCTGGCTAGGTGCAGCTTTTGGAGCATCAGTGTTTATTTCACTGTCCAAGCTTTCTGACTTGATCGCTGTTATAACTCAAATCATTGGATTTACTATCACAACCGTTGCATATTTTTATCTTTACAAAGCCGTTCAATATCATCAGAATCAAATTAAATCTCAGTGTCAGGTTCAAGACCAAAATGCTGTCCAAATATGCAGGGAGAAAAAATCAGCTCTAAATACCTTATACGTATACGTAGTTTTTATCGCCTGCTACTTTCCACTGCTATTTTCAAGTATTCTTTTGATGGTTGATCACTCAAGGACATCTTTTCAAGTGGCTTATAACATCTCTGGATTCATGGTTTTCCTCAATTCGTCTTTAAATCCATTCGTGTATTGTTGGAGATATCGCGAGATTCGACAATTTGTGAAAAACAGCTTTAAGGGAAACGTCGACTTACCGTAACTGATGACGAAAATTATAAGCGAACGGAAAGGAAAGGAAATAAGAATCCAATATTTGATTCAAAACATTGGAATATTCCATTCTTTTTTTTTCGCAAAGAGCGTAGGAAAAAAGGAAAAATGTACTTCCCCAGAAGGAATCGACCCACAGATCTTTGGAGTCCAAGCGCCGATGCTCCGACACTGGGTTACTGAGAACTCTGTATTGAATTTGGCCATAGCAATGTTCATGAATGACATGTCTCTTGCAAACTACTAAGATCAGCATTGTTACAAGATTTAATTGTCTCAAAATTTGAAACATCTCTAATTGTATCATAAGCTAAATTATAAAACGTAGTTGTGTGATTTGTAAATACTCATAGAGATAAATTTCGAGATTTCCTACCTCACACTTTTATTTGTCTTTTTGTTGCTTTTTTTATCTCAGCTACAACAGATCTGTTTTCAGACGTATTATTATCATTAGAGACTGTTAACTATCATGCTATTCATTTGCATACGTTCGTTATTCGAACTTGTTTACAGTCCTTAGAAGTAACTTATTAAATTGAAGAGGAATTCATTTCGCTTCGTGCAAAAAGCCGTTTTCCGTAATTATTGAGAGTTTTGCAATATTTCGAGATTTTCCTCCAACCCCTTAAGGAAATTTGTTGGCTGTAGAAGATATGAAAGAGTGCAGCGGATATAAGGGTGATTTTTATAGTAATCTTGTCTGATGACAAATCATTTTCAGGCTGAAAATAATTAAATTTTTTTGCTTCTATACCATGACAAAAAGTAATAAAGTGATCGTTCCGGAAATAGTCTTTTAAATGTATTTCCCTCAGCGTCTGTTGCCATCACGTTTTCAATAGAAAATAGTAGAGAATGATTCGCCCAACAAACTCGCGGGCAAATAATAATTTTGTTTCATGTGGTTTTTTTTCCTATCAATTTTTACTGCGTTATGAAACCTGAACACTAGCGTGTAGGTGATTTCGGTATTGTTGAGTTTATTATAAGCTGTATCCGGCTTACATAATCCATTGGCTGACGACATGGTTTGTGTCATGCATACAAAGAAAGGCAATATCAAACAGGAAGCATGATTTGTTCTTCGCACAATAGTCCAATTTATTCCTAACTTCACTAGCAGGTGATTAGAACAATCGATGCTTATAAAGGAAATTTAAAAAATATAATTTATACGAATATAGCAACAAGAACAATACCAGTCATCGAGTAAATGCAGATCTGTCCTCATGTGGTGATAATTTTGAAAGAGGAAATTCGTTACAAGCGGCCATGTCATATCGTCAATGAAATTCATGGCTTTGTTTTCCTTATCGGGCCGGTTTGATTAAATTTCCCCTAAGAAAAATCTCTAGCGATCAAATGCGTTACTATTGAGAGAAGTAAAATGTAATTTCGTTTCTGTGAGAATGTAAACACACTGTGGAGGCTGATTGGTTTCCGCACAGCCCCATCCAACATTTTGCATTTAGTTCTTGGATAGAGAAAACAATGACAAAAACAATACATTGCCATTAGGAAAACAGATTTGTTTTACAACAGTATAGGGCTGTGCGGAAATTTTATCAGGCTGATTTTTTATTGTTATCCCAAGCCAAACCTGACCGATCCTTTAACAGTGTCTGTCATGCTTTTTGTTATAGAATATCAAACGTCTGTAAACATTGTTTTAGACTTCAAGATGATTTGACCACCTGCATTCTCATGTCAACAGTGATCAAAAAATAGCACTCTCGTCAATCGGGTCATGGTTGCAATGGAGCACATTGATCTGCACATAGAATAAAACAGTAGCACGAAAACTGACAGTTTTGTCCGATAGTTTATCTTTAATTTCCTTATATTCGGTTTGATTGCCAATTCAAAGGGATGACACCACATGATGTAATTCTGGACAAGTAGAGAAACTAGAAACCGTAAACTTTTTTCTCTAACTGTATGTTCTCTATTAATGATACAAAGGCGAAAAAAAATAGGAATAAAGTTGATAAAAAAAAAAAAAAAACATGAGAGCATTATGGCAGCTAAAGTTTTCGAAAAGATGCGAATGCGAAAAAAGAAGGGTATATTTGCATGTTTTGCTATTTCCGTCGTGAGGAAGACTATAGATTAGTTTTTGTAACAGGAGATATCGCATCAATAACTGATATTTCTTAGATTTTAGGAGTTATTATCCGATGTCAGTCCTTTTGTATGGTTGTTCATCTTCAGTGATCGATCAAAAAGGCACTGAGGCTTTCATGAATGCTTCACTGGATCCTTGGTCGGCTCAGTTCATGCACGATCATTCATGCAAAAAAAGTGTTTTACAGTAAGTTTCACAAGACTGCGAATTTCGCGATATCGCCAATAGTAAATAACTGGATTCAAAGACGAATTAAAGATAACCAAAGTGCCTGTGGCGTAGTAGGCTGTTACTGTTGACGATTGTACCTTAAAAATTGCCAGAATAACACGACTGATCAAATGCGGGAGATAGCATAAAAGAAATAACAAAAAGACATAAAAAGCATTTAAGGTGGACTTTTTCTCCCTTGCCGCATTTAGTGTTTCACAATTTCCAGCTTGCGTTTGACACCGTATCTGATTTTTATGATATTGAACGATTTTGAAGAGGTGGATGTACGCTATGGCCATCACAAAAATTCCTGTAGTTTGGCAGGCCACCGCCACAATCTCGTTATTTTTGGGAAGTATCATATATGCTAAAGTTGCAAGTCCACTCGTAAACCATATTAGTACCACGCCAACTCGTACGCGTTTCTCTGTGACGAGTTGGTTATATCTTAAATGCAAGAAAACGGAGAATAATCTGTCCAACGCGATGGCGGCAGTCGTGAAAAACGATGCCGCCACCAGGAAATATAAAGCATACATCTTTGCCGTCAAAAGATGAGGACAGAAAATGTCCAAGTTATTGCTTTCATTTTTCACCTTGCTCAGCGCCGCAGTGATAATAACAGCAGAAGCTGGTTGAATAAGAACTCCCACGGCAAAATCGGATAAGGTAAGACTTAAAAACAATCTCTTCATATTATCAGGTATTGATGAGGTTTTCCATAACACGCATAGGATGAGAGCGTTTCCGAGTATTGTTAAAGGGGAGATGAGTAGGTCTAGTACAATCACACATAGGGAGAAGGCTGGTTGTGACTTGACGACTTCAGTCAGCTGCCCTAATTTCTCACTACAGAAAGTAGCGTCCATCTCGAGCTGCGAAGGGTCCCTGAACGCGACGATATTATAAAGCTAAAAGCTTAATTGTTACTTTTAATCTATTACTACTACACATTTTACGTCATTACAGTTTCTTTCCTTTGACTGAATAGAATGTGTTAATTATCTGTCACCACTTCTTATTTACCTAGTGTTTTTGACGCATTTAATAAAAAGGCCTTAACAAAATGCTTTTTTTTCAGTTCTGGGTAAAAATTCGACTTGAATCATACCTCAAGGTTGCCAACTGAAAAAAGGTTGTGCAAAAATTAATCAACACGTATGAGTCACGCGCATAGATCGATCAATACTTATTTTTTTTTTACATCCAAGTAACTCTTCGCTTCTTGACTTGTTAAGAGAGATTAATTAAAGCCATCTCAATATGAGTAAATGTTTCGCCGAAAAATTTTCACTCCCCTTTGAAAATAGTTTCTGTCTTTATTGTCTCTGTAATACTACTGGATGGCTGTAAAAAGACTGCCAAAAGTAGAAGGTCCGTATATTCCATACTTATTTTTTGGACTTCCTCTTTAGTTTTTGTGGGAGGAAGGTGTATGGAAATCACGCAGTTTAAGCCTTAGATATCACTTTTAATTTACAATTACCAAGCATTGTTACATTCACACTTGCAATCAAGGGTGTTTTTCTACCTGAAAGGACCATTTGATGATTGTCCGCGCATCATGAGTGGGAATCTAAAGAAATAAGTTAAGTTATAATTTTCATTATCAAATGAGCCTGTACGTAGTCGATCCTTTCCAAAGTGATGACTTCTGAAGAAAATTTTTGAAGAAATTTTGTTTCGAAGAGAAGAATTCTGAAACTTCATAGGAAATCGCGCGACATATGTTTTGCGGTCGGAAGCCATTTCGCCTCTACCAATTTAAGTTTGCACAATTTTAACGACATGTTTAGGAAAAACACTTTTATTTTCGAATGAATTTTGAAATTTTAAAGGAAAACGTGGAAATAATTCGCATAATTGGGACGATTTTCTGCCCAGAGTAACAGCGTGGTGATTACTATTTACCTTGCTTTTCTCTGGCTTGCTTTCACACATTAATTTGGATGAGTATACCGTTGTAAAATTTCCTGCGAGGGGAAAGAGGCCAAAATAATAATCTTGTTTCGTTTCCAAAAGGGAATCTTTATGCGACGGCCATTCGCGTCAAATTATACAATCTTTATGACTTATCTTAAGTGCGTGCACAATTATAGTTTCTCCAAATGCAAAGTGGGTATCATGAAAAAGTAAATAAATCACCGGACTTAATTTCTCCAGCATCGAACATCATTCTTAGTAATAGAGTGAATTAAAAGCAATAACATATTATAGATGCTGAAATGCAATTCAGAAGGTGGTAAGTTCGACTCCTATCAGGGGCACTCAGAGTTTTTTTTCTCAGAGTATGCCAGTGTCAATCACTGCAAACACCATCTGTCAATGCTGATTTTCTTGTGGAGTAGATGAACGTTCGATTTTTTTGATTTAATGAATAAATTTAAAAGTTTTCATTTTGCCTTAAAACAAACTGCAAAGCCGACATAAAATCGGTGTTCTCATATCTATCACTGATCTCTAAAACTCTAAAACTAAAGAAGAAGGTTGTTACAATACGATTACAACTTTTGGAATTATAAATTGTTTCTTGTGTCCTTGTAAATTTTAGTAAACCATGCTTATTAATGTTTTTTTTTTCTTTTTGAATAAGCTGAGTCACCTGCCTGGTTTTCATCCATATTTGTGGTTTTGTTTTGCTACGCACCCATCTGTATGTTAAAATACACGTTTTTGCAATTGTATATGTTTACAGAGAAATGTCCTGTAAAATCCCCTGATTCAATATTAAACCAAGATCTAGCAATAATTCTTAGGCGATAGCTTTTCGTTTTTTAATTAAATGAACCGTTGTCGTTTATACAAGTTGTATGCACAGACGAACTGTAATTTGTTCTTAACACTTTTTTTTTCTGTTTGAGGCGTCGGTGCTAAAAGAACGTCTGAGGCACAATTTTGAATACGAAGCTCCACGCTTGCGCAGTAGATGCGATGGAACAACAGATCACAAACTCAGAGCCGTCTTTGATTAGTCTTGTTTACTTCAATTATTCAGCATAAATATTTTTCGGATTACCTTCATCAGCTCGACAAACTGCCTCCACTGGAAAGGACACCGCATTCCTGTGGCAATTTGGCAAACCAAACAATATTAAAGTCGCCGAAGAGAGGTAAAATAATTCGCCATGAGGACACGATGCCAGCCTTTTTTCAACTACTTAAACATTTAATCCTCTTAAATAAACATAACTCTAAGTCCAATGAATAATTTATGTGGCGAATATGCGAACCGCGGAGAACAGCAAATAAGCGACAATATCAAGTCTCCCTTGAACTGCGAGGATCACATCATTTCTGGATTTCAGCTTAGTCCGATACTTCACGAGAAATGTATATTAATATTTGCGTCACACGCCTTAAAGAACTTGTCCGATTGGCGGAACACCAAAATCACTTTTTATTGTCTCTCTGCGTGCTCAATTTTACATTTTGTATCGTTGCAATTCTTGGAAATCTCCTTGTTATACGTGCTTTATTGAAGGCGTCAATGCCAGCGACACTGAAGGCAATGTTTTTGAGCTTAGCTTTTTCTGATCTATCTGTTGGATTACTAGTGCAACCCATGCACGGAACTATTATCGCGGTTATATTATACAAAACATCAGAGCGAAATGACGACCTCGACTTTCTATGTCCCGTTTTCGTAACAGTGTACCTAATGGCAGCGTACTTCTTCGCAGTGGCATCTTTCTGCTCCATTGTCACCATTGCCGTTGACAGACTCCTCGCTGTTTCACTGCACCTCCGTTATCGTGAGTTTGTGACAATGAAGCGTGTTCTCATCGTTTTGTTTATGCTATGGTCGACCAGCGGGTTAATGGCATTGGTTTACATCTTGCTACCAAACTACAATGACATCGTAGCTGTGGTACTGGAGGTTTTGGGGCTCCTTGTGACAAGTGTTGCCTACTTTCAGATCTTCAAAGTTGCCCGGTATCATCAAAATCAAATAGAAGCACAATGTCAAATTACGACAGATCTGGAAAAAATGAGAGTGGGACGGGTTAAAAGGTCGGCGTATAATGCATTTTATGTTTATGCTGTTTTTGTCACATGTTATTTACCTAATATATTTTGCGGGATATTGTTAGTGACCTCTGAATCCAGTATGTCACTTATAACAGCTTTTTATGTCACAATTTTGCTGATCTATCTCAACTCTTCAGTGAATCTTGTGGTCTATTGCTGGCGATATCGCGAGATTCGGGAAACTGTGAAAAAGATTTTCACTAAGGCATGCAAAAGAAATAGAAATGGAACAATCGATTTGACGAACTTGACAATTCAAGAACCGAGAACAAGCTGGTTTCAAAGAAGTGAAGTGTAAATGAGAAGACATAATTTTAAGGTCGGAAGGAGTAGCAATAAAATTATGAACTTGGATGGTTGTATGCATTTAGGAAAAAATATTGAAATAAACTGGAATATTGTTATGGTGATACGAAAAGTAAAAATAACGAATGTATAATCAACATTTTTAAAGGATCAAAAAATGGCCTAGATTCGTCCGCAAGATTCGAAAAGGTCAATATTTTCAATATCTGTTTCTTGTTATAAATAATAATTTGGCAAGGAAAATGATTAGTTAGTGATTATATTAGTTTTCTGAATAAGAGAGATTGAATGAAAACATTTATCTCGAAACATCTCTCACCAAACAAAGAAAAAAGCTTTGTCGGATGAAATAGCTGCAATGCCATGTGGAGTTTCAAGTTCCAGAAACAAGAACAATTCTCCGAACAAGTGCTTTGCTTTCATGATTAATTTGCTCGTTGGCATAAATGGCACAAATGTAAAATGGCACTGAGGATTAACCAATCGATAGAACAGGTGAACACAGCCACTGATTTAGTTTTGACAACTTAATTGTCTTTGTAATGAAAGGTTCCTAAATACAAGACGCAATACCAGACAAAAACATGCGGAATGAATCCTTACGTTTTACTGTTGCCATCACAGCTATAATTTGGTTTTAATGTGAGACTTTCGGCAGAACATATTTACTTGCGATTTAATTTAGTCTTATAAATGACAGCGTAAAATGAAACAAGCGATTGGTATTGATGTCAAAAACGAATCCTTAAACGCGTTGAAAGTTAAAAGAGAAGTGAATACTTAAGGGTGCATTGTACCTTAATAAATCTGTATTCACAACAACGTGAAAACTGCAGCTGGGTCGTGGGAAAGTGGATTTGCATGCTAACCTTTTGATATTTTATTTGCTTTGCCATTTCATGACCAATCGTGTTACGGTCAAAAACATAGATATCGTCGGCGGCAGTGTTTCTTCCGGCTGAAGAGAATTTGACTTAGACCATGAATTTTCATTAAATGAGCCTTTTAAAGTGAAATGAATGAACAACTCTTGACAAAGCCAGGTTTTCTGCCGAAGAGGTCTTTAAATATGTAAATAACTTCGCATAAACAGAGCGCGTCTTCAATACCTTGAGACGGATTAATTGTGTAGAATCGACGCATATATTTATTGATTTACATAACTAGAAAATGGCGATTTTGTAAAGACAGCACTCCCAGTTAAACATGTGGCAGTTGTACAATGAACATTTTACAAAAAGACAGAAAATTGTGCTTGAAAATTGGTGTGCTAGAATAAAAGGGTCCGACTACAATACCCTAATAAATGTTTAGACGCTTCATGGGGACGTGAGAGGGAGAAAGGAAAATATTAAATTGTAAACAAGACAGGAAAGACGTATATGAATTATTTCACAATGATAACTACGCACACTAGTGGCCGGAAGGACCAAATGCTACGTCTTGGCTTTTACGGTGTACTTTAATTCATTTGCATGCTATAATTCAATATCAACGTGAAAAATCTTTCCTTTTTCATCGTTAGTCATGCAATTGAAATGACGGTCCAAAAACAATAGTCTAAAAACTGCTTTATTTAAATAACAAATTCTAAATACAAAGGAAAAAAGCTTGAAGGAAAATTAGGTTTTAAAGGATACAAATCAATAGCGATAAACAGCTAAAGAGGGCCACAGTTCGTAACCGGGATCTTGCTGACATCAGACTGTCACAGTCTTATGGCCATGCTAAAATACTCTTTGTCACTGCTGAAGAAGAAAACCAGGATACCTTTAGGTCACAAAATTTTCGGAGGACTTAAAAGCTCAACAGCTTTGATTTGGAATTGGGTCAAAATTCTTTGATCCTCGGGACAAATCGAGTTAAAATATGATTTATAGGTGGTTACAGATCATTAAAGGCAGATAGGTACTCTAGCTCGTCTCCAACAGAAATCCAACATGACACTTGACACATATGAGCCTTGTGTGAGAGGCAACTTCTCTGTTGCTCAATTGGTACCGAGAGCATCCATTTTTTCTATTCTTTATCTGATACGTGGTCAAACTCTGAGGTCTGTAGGTTTTTCTGATATTGAAACAAAATTGTGATATAAATATTGGCCTACTGGTGTCCTAACCTTTGGACTTTTTGTAGGGATTGGGAGTTAACCAGTGCAGTTGACCCCATTATACATCAGACGTGTTTAATTTTCCGCAATACAAATGTCTTTTAGATATAAGTTGCAATTATCCGGTGTGATGGTGCGCTGTTGAAGATGTATGTGCGGATAACTGCTTAATACGTGAGCTCGAGAAAAGATAACATGCTCAATAAAACCCCGCATAAGAATTCCCATTGCGTTTCAAACGCGAAACCTCCGGGAAACGGAAAATGCTCTCGTCATTTATGCTAATGCCATAATTGTATTTACACACAGTTAGTGTGCTCATGTTGCTTACTCACGTTGCCGTTAAGGAGGGAATTCTTTCAATTGATCTGTGTTAATATTTTTCTGGTTTCATTACCTGCGAAAAAAGCTGTTTTAGGGATAAAAAATCAAAAAATAAGAGTGAAAATTAAGTGTATCACGACTTTTCCGTCTTTCGTGACATTTGCGCACTACGTGCCTTTTTCACATTATCGGACGCAGGTGCAAAAACACGACGTCGTATTTAAATGAAGTTTGCCCTTCGCATTAAAGAGCCCAGAATTATTAGGCAATTAAATCTCTTGCGAAGGAGAAAATTACTACGGTTATGTTTTTTTTTTTTAATGAAACTCCTCGTTATAGGTCCAAATTGAGAGACTATAAATACTTGGTAACTGATATTACGGTACCAGCGGCGTCAAATGGAATTTACAGACATGGTGGTTCAATTGTGTAATGAAAAACTGGAGGGTTACGTCAAAGTTCTTCATTTTGGTTGGCGTTTCGTGCTTGTGGTTTGTGTTTTAAACTTGTTATGGGCTGTGGTCGCAGTTCTGGGCAATGTCCTCGTCATACGGGCCCTGATGAAAGCAAAGACGATACCCGCTACTTTACGACCACTTTTCTTGAGCCTTGCTGTTTCTGATCTCACTGTTGGATTATTTGCTCAGCTAATGTTTGGTGTTGTTATGGCTTTAATGTTGAAAATGTCTGCTGATGGAAATTTCAACTTGGACTTATTTTGTCCCTCTATTGTGACGATATCTCAGCTCTCTTTGTATGGGTTGGTGACTGCATCTGTTCTATCGGTTGCTGCCATTGCAATCGACAGGCTTCTTGCGGTGTCACTTCATCTACGATACCGAGAACTAGTGACGCCAAGAAGAACTATCATTGTTGTGAAATTATCATGGATTGCCAGTGGGATTATTGCCGGCATTTACATGTTTCTTCCCAACTACAATGACATCGTGGGAGTGTTCATGGAAGTATCGGTGCTTCTTGTGACAGCATTCGCTTATTGTCGGATCTACAAGGTTGTGCATTATCATCAAAATCAAATACAAAGTCAGATCTCACATCAAGAGGCAATCGAGTTTGCTCGAGAAAAACGATCAAGCCTCAATACCTTTTGTGTCTTTGTGGTTCTGTTAGCTTGTTATCTCCCAGACTTGTGTTGTGGTATCTTGATTTTAGCTGAAGAATCTCGAATGCAATTTTTGATTGCGTTCCACGCATCAGGCTTCTTAGTATTTCTCAATTCTTCTATTAATCCCTTGATCTATTATTGGCGATATCAAGAGATTCGTGGGATCATGAAAAACACTGTAAGATCGATATTATCCGTCAGAAATTCGTGACGAGGTGTAGTTTTACACTCCAGCTCCTAAATGTGATATAGAATACAAAAATTTTTCATGATTTTATACACCATTGAAAAGATCTAAAGTGCTCATAACACGAAATTTTTTTTTCTATTTCCTAGTTGATAGCCTATTTAAAATTAGAAATAATCGACCTTTGCGCCTAACAAGTTCTTCTTGACCATTTTTTTGTGCATTGAAAGTACGATTTGGTGGCCAAAAAGTGTCCTTATCAAGCGCGCGGCCGAAACGATCATGTTACATGGCTGTGACGTAGAAAACTGTGAAGACACGTCGGCACTATGGTGGAGAAAGGAGAAATCTAGAAGAAAGGACGAACGTTTGCCTGACCGGAACGCCAAATGATGTTAGCTACAAGAATAATATACATAAACCGGGTATTTCTGTACCCTACGTTCCAAAGGATGTAATTGTACGGCGAAAATGGACACGTCTCGATCGTCGACATCGAGGAAACTTTTACTCTACAATGTCGACGAACACATACCAATGGTCAAATCAGGGGAAGATAACCAAAGAATCCAGCTAAAAAGAATGCTGACTATGGGGCCTGTTCCCACACCGTACACGATCGTTCAACATTCTTTTCAGCTGACATTTCGCGAGCGAAGAATGGAGAACTTCTTAATGTTGTTTATTTCACGCGCTTGAGTTGTACTTATACTCCTTGTCTTTTCACATTTGCACTTTTCTTATTGTATGAAAACCTACCAATTGTAGTTTCCATCATATTTTAATTACAGAAACACATCAATTTTAATAAATTTTCAGCCCCTTCTTGAGCTGAGCGATATCCTGTTACCTGAACAGTGCGAAATCTCTGGCGGATACTAGCATAAACACAAGGTCGAAGGGGCCGTGTATTCTCTAAACCTAGGTTTCCGAAAATCCACCCCACGAGCTAAAAGTAGCTACAGTAACAATTTCATTGTGATAACAGACTGAAACACTGAATAGAGAAACACAAATTTTACTGAATAAGATGGTAGCGAATCTAAGTGCCGTGTGAAAGTCGATGCATAGGAAATAATCATTTACAATACTAATGTCAATGGTTTCTTTCAAGTGGAATGGGTCTTATGGCAGTTGTGCACTCAAGCTAAAGAAGGTTTTCTCTATTAAAATCCCTATTTGAGATTAAATTAAGCCAGATGACTATAAATTCGCTCGTTTTCCGTTTAGTTTGGCCGGCTAGAC